TTCGGAGGGGGTTCAATCTCCGGGGCGTTGTCATAAAATCTAAAGAACAATTTGCTGCGGTACTTGTGACTTGTCTTTAAGAAGCGTCGGTTCCTTAGGTAAACTATCTTCTTGGATGCATCTAGGTACACCCATGTAGTACCATTCAAGCAAACCAAGCATCCTGTCTTTCCTTTGATCTGTTTAGACAAAGCAAACAGCGTGGGGTAATCATTGGTAGTAACAAATATTATTGCTCTACATATGAAGTCCTCCTTTCGGAACGCATCGTACATTTGCTCCCCATGCCTCCATAGCCTCTCCATTTCTTGCATCAAAGGCTCGAGGAACACGTCTATATCAATGCCTGGTTGTTTAGAGCCAGAAATAAGAATAGTGAGGAGAAGGTACTTTCTCTTCTGACACAACCATATTGGGATGTTGTACATGGTCAAGATCATCGGCCATGTCTTTGTGGTCACTCATCCTCTCATTGAAGGATTCATTTCATTGGTGCTCAAGCCAAACCATACATTCCTTGGGTCATCATTTGAATTCTTTGTGCTTCTCATCAAACCTTTGCCATCGACTACAATCACCGGGTGTGCAATCTTATCATCATCCACCTTGCGCTCATCATCCCACCATGTCATGAGTGCGACTTCTTTAGGGTTTAGGAAGATACGTCTCAAGCGGTTGGTCAATTTGGCGGTACCACATTACCAAGGCAGAATTCTTCTCTGCTTTGCATCGTTGCCTAATGGAGTGTCCTCTGAAATGAGATTCTTGTACCACCTTTTTTGTACCCTTCTTATTCCTCTTTTTCCCCATGGAGGCTTCGTCCCCACCGTAAAGGTCATTGTTCTTGTACCTGCTGGCCCCACACCGAGGACATTTATCCAGTGACTTAAACGTTTCGCCATGAAAAAGTATACAGTGGTTGGGGCATGTATGGATTTTTTCAATCCCCATTGTCAATGGACTTATGACCTTCTTCGCTTGGTATGTGTTGGTGGGAACTGAGTTTGGTTGTGGCAGCACCCATGACAGGAGATGCAATAGATCATTGAAACTACAGTCTGACCAGCCGTACTTAGCCTTTAGGATGGGCAGCTCAAGCACAAAACGTAGCAATGTCCAATGTGTCGGACAGCCCTTTTCAACACCATACACAGTCTCCTTCGATGCCTTTGTCACCCTTTCCAAATTTTCTAGACCTTTCGGGCTATTTAGTAAAATCTCTGGTCCAAGGGCTTGAATCATGTCCTCCAAATCATCTTCATCCCCGACACGTGCTCCACCATCATTATTGGCACCACCTTCGTCGTTACCATCCCAACCACCAGCATCACCACCTTGTTCATTGCCAAACTCGAAATCCATTCGTTCATCAAGCTCTGCTGAATATTGGCACAAGGATTCTATGGTTTCGTCGTCGTATTCCTCCTCATCCTCGTCGTTAACAATAATCGTTTCACCATGATGAATCCACACTGTGTAGTCCTCAACAAATCCTCGCATAATCAAATGTGATCTGATGATAGTCACATCTGTCCATGTCATATGGTTCTTATAATCTTTACAGGGACAAATAATTGTATCCTTATTCTCTTTCAATGTCGTTGCATGCTTCAATAAATTTATCCACCTCTTCACGGAAACCTACCTTGAACCTTAACGAATCATACATCCAAGAGTTCATGTACTCCATCTTTTACAACAACAACAAAACAAACATTAAAGGACTACTTATTCAGATATATATAAAAATGAATCAAATTAATAATTACTTGAGAATAATTGTATATACTTTAGATATATATGAATATAAATCTAATATAATTACATGAAGCATACAACACACCATGGTAGAGGAAAATTAATTAATGGCCTATTTATCCATAAATAATTAAAATACACATTTATTGATTACAATAAACAATTTCATAGACAACAATTAGCAACAATTATACTTTATCCAATATCTTTCATACAAACCCTAGTCCAATTTTATCAAACATAAATTTACAAAAATAAAATTAATAAAAAAATCAAACCCTAGATCTAGATCTACATGCACATGAAACATGCATAAAACTAACTAATTGTTCACTAAAATCAAGAAACATGGACCAAATAAGGGTATAATCTTGTTCTCCTCTCTAATTTATCCTAGTACATTTAAAACTTGGGTCTAATTTGCTTCATAAGTAGCTCAAGCACCATAGAAGAGAGAGAAAAACAAAACTTTAATTACTCACTAACCAACCATTAAAACTTCAAAAAAAAGTATGAAATAGCATTTTCTTACCTTCTACAACCTCTCCACCAAAGGATTTGAGACCAAAACTTACGCCCCTTAGTAAAGCAATTTTTGGGAGGTGCCCAAGGCCTCCCCACCTTTCTTTCACGGGTTGGAGTGAGTGACCCGAGGAGGAAGAAGATGCTGCAGTTGTGCTATATGTGGGTCATTTGTAGGGACGACTGGTGATTGAGCCGCCCCTACAAATCGGAGGTATTTTATACGGGGGCATTTGTAGGGGCGGCTCAATCACCAGCCGCCCCTACAAATAGAAATGCCGGGGGCGGCTGGTAAGTGAGCCGCCCCTACAAATCAAACTCATTTGTAGGGGCGGCTCGTATCACCAGCCGCTCCTACTGTTTCATTTGTAGGGCCGGCTGGTGTCTAGGCTCCCGAACACGCCACTGTAGGGGCGGCTCCATCACCAGCCGCCCCTACAAAAAATTCGTCCCGTTGCTAAAAATCGTTTTTTACGTAGTGAGTATGCGTGCGTATTGTGAGCGTCTATGTTGTACTGTGTAAAATTCAAAATGCAAACAATACGTTGCAACTTTGTTCAAACATTTAACTGAACACGTTTCCTATACTCATATTCGGAGATTGCTTCACATACCAGTTAAAACCGAATACTTCACATTTGGAAGGCCCAACAGGCCCAAATACTTCTTCAAGGCGATTTTTTTATTTTTAACACTTTTTTTAAACTATTTTTAATTCTAACACTGCTTTTTTCAAATCTAACACTTTTTGCCGCACCTATTGCCACGGCAAGGGAAAACAACTCTGTCGTGCCATGCATGGCGGCGCGGCGGCGGCGATGACGTGGCACTTCCCCGGGCCATGGCCGCTGACATGGCAGGAGCTGCCGTGCCACGCATCTTGGCGCGGCAAGTGCCGCGCCACGGCCCACGGTGCGGCGAAGCCCAACACAGGACTGCGGCCCGGCCTCCCTCTCCTCACAAGGATGCGTACGATGAGGCGACAAGGATGGAGACATAGCTTCAGAGAGCCCCGCTACAGAGATACGTGGTAAGAAATTTGAATTTCAATACAACTGCACGTCGGCGTTCCTATGAATTGTAGTGATACGAACTTACCTCGATTGTGTATGCAGGCAACACAGTTGACAAGTCTGTCCAACGAAGCAGCCGTGCGACTTCACGAGACCATAGAGGAGCCACACGGCATTCTACACGTCTTCGTCGATGCACATTCTATTTTCAAAGCCATGACCGTGGTTAAATGGTTCCCATGACTCATTCATCCGTGTTTTCTTTTTTTCAGAAAGTGAGGAGGAGCTGCAAGAAGCTGACACAGAAGCTCAGCTGCATTGATACTCCGTGGGAGATGCCCTATGACCTGGACCTGTCTAGTTCCTTACGCTCGAGTACTATGCCGACACGAGCAGGTTCCTCCGATACGACGGCTGCTGGGACTTCTCATGTTCGTACTCCCGGCAATGCAGGCAAGGGTCCTGCGGAGCACGACGTTGAGGAGGACGAGGACGAGGACGAGGACGAGGACGAGGACAAGGAGGAGGACTACGATGAGATTGGGATGTCTCAGCTTTGTGATGCACCATTTCCTACACAGTTCGACGAACAGGTACTTGAAACAAACCTTCGTCATATACGTCACAATTACTTAAACATTGTAAGTAATGATGCCTATATTGTAATTGCAAGGTCCTAGTTACACTCAGCAGTACCTCCGAGTTTACCGCCAGCGAGACCGTACCGACGTTGGGTTCACCCCTAACGTACTGCCTTCACGTCCGAAGAGGCAGCGACGTCCGCGGTACCCATATACTACTGGGTCGTAGGAGTTCTTTAGGATAACATGGTGCACTTATACTCGGACACCCATATACTGATGGAACATGTAGTATGTCGAGTAATGTCGAACTTATGTATTGATGAACTTGTGTCGTAATTATGACTTGCTGAGCTTATATCGAACAGAGGTATTGTCGAACTTGCGATGAAGATAGTATTGCTGAACTTGTGTATTGATTGTCTCGTGCACTTAACCTTCATACTGACCTATTCGTTAAACCGACACGACGAAATAACTCATGTGAGAACATAACAGAAGTGCTTTGTTACATTTGCTGCCGCTTTGACCGCCGCGCCATGGCTGGGGCGTGTCAGCCTTGCCGCGCCGTGTGCTGTGGCGGCACAACAGCTCCTGCCACGTTAGCGGCCATGGCCCGGGGAAGTGCCCACTGCCGTGCCGCCATGCATGGCGCGGCAGAGTTGTTTTCCGCGTCGTGGCAATAGGCGTGGCCAAAAGTGTTAGATTTTAAAAAAAAAACAGTGTTTATAATTAAAAATAGTTTTAAAAAAGTGTTAAAAAAATCTTCAAGGGGAAAAGCACCAACGAGCACCGCGCCAACAAGTAATGACTTTGCTCGGTATACAAGCATGTGAAGCAAATGTTAAATGCAACGAAAATCATCCACGAATGACAGTAATCCATACATCGCATTGCAGAGTACCACATTAGATACAGCATAAAAATGAAATAAGGTAGCAGTTATTCACTCCCTACACTACCTGCACCTGACACAAATGCGAGCATCAGAGAGGAGGCCCCAATCGGGGAATTATTTGTCAGGCAGAAACCACGACGCAAAGACGGAATAAAAAAAAAGGCAAGTTTATCGCAAATCTTCACAGGTTTGTTCCATGTTCGTTTTGAAGGGAAGACATGATTCCCTTCAGGCGTCCAACTGGAGCTTCTTGATCGTGTCGATCTGCTTTGCCGGGTTCAGGCCCTTGGGGCAGGCATGCGTGCAGTTCTTGATGGTGTGGCAGCGGTAGAGCTTGAACTCGTCATTGATGGCGTCCAGGCGCTCCTTGGTGAACTGGTCACGGCTGTCCTGTATCCATCTGGAACAACGAATGGACATTTTATAGCACAAGACCCATCGTGGAATGCAAGCATGCCCTACCTGGGCATCACAAGTTCAAAGCTCATAAACTGAACCAAACCGGGCAAGTACTTCACAATCACTCCATTGGGATATAAATATTGCACACCAAAAAACATTAATGTTCATTAATTACACTAACTGCAAACAAAGTTGGTTATCATATTATTTAATGAAAGTTAACTGCCATATCTTAGTTCCTATGATCTAACACAAACCCTCTATGTGGACATCAAATAAATTAAACAGAGGTAAGATGAATCAAACAGCTGATGTATGGATCATACAATCAAATAAAACACTGGAATAACAAATGACTCAACATATCAGCATGGATCGCAAATACGCAATGCTGAACAGACTTCAGAGAAGTGAGAAGTCCAGAAGGTAGAATAAAAGTAGCCAAAAACACTGAAACAAACAACTTATGAAGTCGGATTACTCTAACATACAATATTCACAATCATTCTGAGCACATGATGTAAACTTTGGAGTGAGGTGGCAACTACTTATCAACATGAAGTACAGAGTAACTGATAACAGAAACAAGCGCAACATATTCACAACCCAGTGTGAAGATAACAGAAAAAAAAATCTGCATTCAGAAACAAGTTCTGATCCTTTAACTTCATAAGTGCATAATATATATAAAAAAACAGTACAGTACACTGATTCAGCTAAAATATTTAAATAAAATTGGCTGCTGGTCAGAAACTTTAAAGCTTGTTTCAGGGATCACACACTGAAAGGTTGCATGTAAACAACCTTATTTTCCTGTACTACTGCAGAGCTATCGCTTTTTTCTACTGGCTCGTTAGCATCTACCACGATGCTTTCTTTACGCCCGTCAGTTCACCCTTGTTTGCCAATGTGCGGAACACAATCACGGGACATGCGAAATTTCTTGTAGACAGCGCGAGACCGGCCTGTGAAAATGCAGCGGTTTCTAAGGCGTGTCATGGAGCTATTTCTTGGCAACTTGGACAACTTATAAGCGGAACTTCTCCGCATATCCAATGGAAGATCAGGGTCCCTACAGACAGCCTTATACAGCTTTCCCTCAGCTCATATTTTTCTGCAAGCAATCTACGTTTGTGGTCCCATGCAGGTTTCTCTTCTCTGACACCCCGTGATATCCTCGAGCTTGAAGGTGCATGAACATGTTGGGTTTTGGTTTGATAAGCGTCCCCCACAGCGGAAGCCTAAAAAGGGTGAACGTGTCATGGACTTAGCAACATCCTAAAACTTAGAACAAAGAAAATTTATCATATTAGACAGCTATCATTCAAGGGAAACAAGTGCAGAAAAATCCACAAGAACTGGCTTTAGCATCTTAAATTCGCTTGATCATCAGTGTAGTTTAACGGTGATGAAGCGAGAACTAGCACTCTCTATACTGGAAGAGAGGTTAGCAGTTCAGCACGCCACTGCCAAACAACTTATCAGAGGAATAGATTCACCAAAACATCCACCATATGTTAATTTAAGTTGGGCGATGTGACATGTTTGCAACTCATAAGTTAAATGCTAGAAGAATACTAGAACCACAATGCCTTTAAAGCTGTCTAAGCGATCTTCTGCAGAAATGCATTCAACACATTTCCTTAACTAGTGATACTAATATCATCAGATCATAGTCACAGCAGCTACCCAATCATGATCATGGAACCACTTCACATGGGTGTTACTGCCACCAATATAAACAACAAAGGATCATCACATCTAAGGAACAAACAATTCATCAAGACATCAGACCAATAACCAATCTACCTGGATCACAATCATCTCCAGGTTTGCGTGAGCTAAGCTAGCAACTATATCAATCTACACACATCACTTCAATTGGCAATCTACCTGGATCACAATCATTTCCAGGCTCACGTAGCTAAGCTATCAACTATATCAAACAATCTACACATCACTTCAACTGGAATTACTTCATGATCAGCAGAGCATGACTTGCAACCGATCAATCACACATCACTAAGCAATCATCAAACAGTTCAAATGGAATTACTTCATGATCAGAAGAGCATGACTCACGACCGATCAATCACATATCATTCAGCAATCATCAAACAGATCCAGCATACATCACTCAGCAATCATCCATCTCAGTATCAAAGGGGTAGCAATGATGCTGGTATACCTGTTGGCGTGGAGCAGCGCGGCTGGGCCGAGGTACTCCTCGGGGTTCCACCAGTAGGACGGGCAGGAGGTGGAGCAGCAGGCACACAGGATGCACTCCATACATGCCGTCGAGCTTGGCACGATCGGCCTTGGTCTGCGGGATCTCCTTGCCCTGCTGCGGCGGTGGGTCCTTGCGCTTGAGCCACGGCTCGACGCTCTTGTACTGGTTGTAGAAGTTGGTCATGTCCACCACCAGGTCCTTGATGACGAACATGTGGGGCAGCGGCGAGACCGTGGACGCCGAGGACGCCGAGGAGATCTTGGTGAGGCAGGCGAGGCCGTTGTCGCCGTCCATGTTCATGGCGCAGCTCCCGCAGATGCCCTCGCGGCAGCTGCGGCGGAAGGTGAGCGACGGGTCCTGCTCGTTCTTGATCTTGAGCAGCGCGTCCAGCACCATCGGCCCGCAGTCGGACAGGTCCACCTGGTAGTCCTTGAGGTGCGGCTTCGTCGACGGCGAGTCCGGGTCCCACCGGTAGATCGAGAAGGTCTTCGTGTTGGACGCGACCTTCGCAGCGCGCCGGCGGCGCGCGGGGACGAGGAGTGGGACTTGGACGCGACGAGGCGGGACGAGAGGGCCGGCGAGAGGAGGCGCGCGCCGCCGGCGAGCGGCGGAGCAGGGCGGCGGCGGCCATGGATGGATGCGGATTCCGATTTGGGGGTCTGCTCTTTTTTTTTCCCCTGGAAGGTTGGGGGCGCGTGGTGGGCTTGCGAACGGAAGGGTATTTATATGTGAGGTCGTTGGTGGGTGGATGACATGTGGGGTCGGGAAGGGAGCGATCGGAATGCCGGTGCTAGGGTTGGGGCGGGAGGATGACATGTGGGGCATGAGGGGTTTGGTTTGGGCCTGGTTTGTGGGTGGGAGCGTGGAGATGTGGACGACTCGTGGGCCGCTCGCAAGATGACAAAACAAAGTTGCTGACTTTCGAGGGCGTTTTTTCTTTAACTTCTTTCTAGGGCGTTTTAAGATCACTTTGGATAGTTCTTGATATTTCCCTCTTTTTCTTCACTTTCTGTGTTTGCGTTGATGTCATGGTTGACATATTTTTTTCTAACAGAAAAATAAACTGAGGAATTATATGAAAAATAGTCATCAGAATGTAGTTACAATTTAATTTATGATGAAAGAAAAAAAAAATAGCTTATCTAATTCGGTGTCTTATGGTGGGAGCAAAACATATTCATCCAGACTTAGTATTTAGGGTGTGTTTGGTTAGCCTATGAGATGTGGAAAAGCTACGGCGAGCTACGAGAAAGTTGTAATGCCCCTAAAGGTCTAAAAGACTGATTATATGCTAATTGATCGTAAGACACTAATCAATTCAATTATCCACATATGAATAAAGATCTTAGAATGGGAAACTACATTTTTTTAATATACTACATCCGTTGTAGACATATGGTCCATATAAATAGATTGCTAGATTAGTACAAACGACATATGGTTCATATAATGACGTCTTGTGTCACCATATATCTATCTACCTCTCGTACTAAACCAAAGCATTAGCTATCCTAATGCGAATGATATTCATGGTATCCTCGTTTCCCCATCTTTCCCATCATGACTCCCTTGTGTTTGCCTATCAAAAAAGAAAAAAAAAAGACTCTCTCTTGTGTTTGTGCCGCCGCACAATTCACATGTCCCTTCTGATAGATACTCCTCATCCGCATCACATTATCAAACTCCTTATCATGAAACTTGGATATAGCAACTAATATTCGGTTTGGATAAACCTCATGTCGACGAGATACCCTATTCGGTTTGGATATATAATACGTGCTTCCTTTAAAAGAGGTAAGATACCCTATTCGGTTTGGATAACCATAGTCGACGAGATAACATTTTCCTAAAAATACAATTCAATATAAGCAACTAATAATGAAATCATTTGGTAACTTAGTAAGAAAAATGTTTACCTTTATGAGGCACGAAAAACGAAAGAAAATTTGCTAATCCATGATAGGATCCTTGTGTCATGTGCCGAGCCCAGCCAACCAACAACTACCAACCGCAAAAATAAACCTCATGTCAAAGTCACATATAGCAAGCACATTCTGAGATGTATATCCATGTCGACATGTGTGGTTAACCACGTCCTCTGCAGGCACTGAAACTAGAACATGCGAACCGTCTATAGCTCCAATCGCACCTTTGAAATAAGGGCAATAAACGGTCCTCTTTAACCTTCTCCACACAAGAAAATATTCTAGATGCGGTTCATCATCTCCTTCTCGTGCTCTCTCTCAAGCAAATTGAACCTCTCTTCATTAGTTTCAAGCAAACTAAACACCTCCCTAAATTTAGGCTTCACAATTAAGGACGCGGATGTGTGCATCAAAGCAGTTTTTTCTTGTACACCACAACCTTTCACCATCTTCATGGCCTCTGCAATGCTAGGGACCAGATTGGTTGGATCCTCCTCGTGCTCCCTCTTAAGCAAATCGAACCTCCCTTCATTAGTTTCAAGCGAGCTAAACAACTCCCTAAATTCAGGCTTCACAATCAAGGACATGGATGTGTGCATCAAAGCAGTTTTTTCTTGCACACCACAACCTTTCACCATCTTCATGACCTCTGCAATGCTAGGGACCAGATTGGTTGGAGGAGCTGATGATGCTTCAACACTTTTGGTGATCTTCTCTGCTGCAGATTGGATCTTCAAACATGTATTTCTGTACAATCGAAAGAATGGGCTCTTCTCATCCTTCTCTTTAGTAGCACTTGAGGAGTACTAGCATTTCTTCTTTCTTGGTTTTGCTTTCTTGAATGCAGCTAACTTGATATCCTCGGTAAGCCTGTCGCCGGGTATTCATACCCAGTATTCAAATCCATATCCACGTGAAACGGGAGGGTATGGATAGAAAATCTCATACCCGTTCGGGTATGGGTAACATCCGTTGAGAAACGGGTACGGGAGGGTATTCTATCTATCTTGTGCATCCTTCTCCATGGACGGCAACGCGAGGGACCTCAACCTGTTCCCGGTCGCCGCAGCCACGAAACCCTGCGCCGTGACGACGGCCCCGGCTCCGCGCCGGCGCCAAGCCCCGGCTCCGCGGTCAGCGCCATGACGACATACCACAGCGTGTGCACGATCGTGAAGGTGAAGACGGCCCTGGAACGGTTTGAGCGCGGCAAGCAGCAGCAGCCCCATCCGCACCAGCAGCAGCAGCACAGCGGTGCGGGCGCGTCCCCGTCGTCGTCGTTTGTGACCACGTCCTCCGTGAAGCGCCACGGCGTCGGCGTGGAGCAAGGCGACGGCTGCGACTCACCCTCCGGCGGCGGCGGCGGGATGGTGGCCGTGGCGTGCTCCAGGTGCTTCCTGTACGTGCTCATCTCCTGGACCGACCTGCGGTGCGAGTCCCATGTCCTGGCCCTACCGGCGCCGGCGCCGGCCGTGAGCAAGAAGCCGCGGATCGACCTCAACGTCGGCTACCTCGGCACCACAAGTTCGCGTACGTACACAGGAAGTACCCATGACATAGCTGCCGTCTCCTGCATGAATGGCGTGGCCGGCGTTGCTCCTGGGTCAACACGCAGATGGGCGGCGGCGGGCACCGGAACGAGACGGACGGCAGAGGCAACGAGGAGGACTTGGCGTTGCTGTTGATCGACTACCCCGGCAGCGAGCGTAGGGCATTTCTACTTAGCTAGCTGATGACGATGAGGCCGGAGACATACATAGTTAGTCACTGCTCAATTATCTAATGAATATGGGGAAATCGGGTATGAATAAAAGTCGGGAGGGAACATGTGGATAAGCAAGATATGGGTATGAGTATGGATACGTACGGGTGTATCCATACCCTCCCCAACGACAGGCTTAATCCTCGGCATCTGAAGTTTTGTCACTTTGGTCACATCATCATCATTACTTGATTCATCCGATAATATGTCCCCAGGACAAATTGCAGTGGTCCCACTAACATGAATCTTACCGAACATAATGTGCAAATCATCAAGGTGCTTTGGTCCATGTTTTTGGAACCTCATATGATTGCATTTGATCCCCTTCTCAGGATTGTTGCATCTCTCAAATCAAATTAAAAAAGTTAGCAAGTGCAACCATATAGAATCATGATCATTGAATAAAGAAAAATGTAGTGCAAAACTTACAGCAAGGTGTTCATCCCACCATTCTTTAGTGCAGTCAACTGTTTGCTTTGCATCATCCCATCCAAGTCCAGTGGCAGCATTTTTCAACTCCATAAACCATGTATATTCCTTTCTCATATTATTCCACTTGTTCTTCAATTGTTTCTTTGTTAGTCTTTTACCTGTTTTTTTCCTCAAATTTGTCTACAAGTTTTTCCCAACTGGCTCTATTGAACCCAGCCTCGATCTCTCCTTTGCAAATATCAATGAAATGCCTCAAATTGGCACCACTCCAATCCGCTCTCTCTGCCATGCTTGAATCAAGCAAAAAAAAATATTTCATTGAAGTTAGTTATCACAACAACAATGTGTTAAAAAAAATATATCCCACTGATCACAGCATCAAAAAATTAATAGGAATACAAGTGCTGTCAGATTGGATCTGTGATCATTCACAAATGCTGTCAGGTTGGCCACTGATCACAGCACCAAAAAATTAATAGGAATACAAGTGCTGTCAGGTTGCCTCTGTGACCATTCACAAATGCTGTCAGGTTGGCTACGGCGTACAGTGAAGAAGTCACGAATTCTGGTGCACAACACTACACTAGCGAACAAGAAGAACAGCGAGCATGGGGATTTTGGCATCAATTTGTACATGCGAGCACTGAACAGAAACATCACATCAATCCATACACACAAACACTGAACCTAAAACACAAATTTCACAGGAATCCATACAATGCGAGCACTGAACAGCGGGGGGAGGGGTTTAATACCTCCGGCCGGCAAAACAAGGTGTCCGGGGAGGAGGACGAGAGGGCAGAGAGGGACGCTGGAGAGGACCCCGACGAGCGGCGGTGCACAGCCGGGCTGGACGCGGACGCGGCCGTTGATTGTTCAGGGAGGAGGAGAGGGCGGAGAGGACCACCGGAGAGGAATTGGCTGCTGGGAGAAACTCGCCGCCGGAAATGGTGCGGCAGCGCCAGCGCCCAACCCCCTAGCGCGTGCAGGGCGGTGCTTGTGCTTCTGTCAGAGTCTTTATGAGCACAGATGGCCCCATTTTCATCCACTCCGGTGGCAATATAATCCAACTTTGAAGTCCTAAATATGCAATTTTGTTGAGGAGTCGCACGAGAAGAGGAAAAGAAAAGAAAGATCGGAGTGGTACAGTTGAAAAAGTTGAAAATTGCAGCCGTAGAAGGAAAATCATACTAGAGGGAAAAACAGTTTTCTTCTCTACAGAAGCAGCTACAGCCTACAGGTTGCGCCCAGCTTTTAGTTTTTTTTTGTTGGCAAAAGCAGTTTTCATAAACCCAACCAAATACACCCTTAACTATACTTGCATTCTTGGTTATTTTTTTCAATGGTAAATCACATGCTCTTAAATAGCAAGGTGTCTATGGTAACTTTAGTCTTAAGATCTTGCTTTCATATTATACGACAGGTCAACGAGGATTGTGCGGGTGAACCAATTTTTTTAGGATTTTCAGGTCATTTTAGATAGTTCTTGATTTTTTTTCTTGTTCGTTACTTACTTTTTTGTTGCCGTTGTGGTCGACATATTTGGGATTAAAAAATAATTTAAAATATTACATGGACAAATGAGCTATCAACAGGTAATTAGAATCTAATTGGTGATGAAAGGAAGAAAAATGAACCCGGTTTAGCAAAGTTTGTGGAGCATAGAACTTAACCGCTTAATAAACACTTAGAAGAGAAAGAGAAACATCAGATCACGGGTGCCATTCGCAGGTAAGTCTTCACTTTCAATTCAAACAAACAAGGGAGCAAATATATAGAAAATAGAAAAATCAAAATGAAGAATGGGAAACCATTTCGTTTAGTCGACGGAAGCTACGAGCGTCATGACGGCCCAATCCGGCCCATGGTCATCTAAGACCAAAGGCCCATTTGTACTCAGGCTCCCACTTGCAGCCCAACAAGACCCGTGTTTTACGAGAAAGAATCAAGGCCTACTCCACGGCCCTTTACCCCCAGGAAGCTCTGCGCTTCTTCAGGCACGCGCTCCACCACCTGCCTCCTCCGCCCCTGCCTTATGAGTGATGACACATTTGCCTTCGCGTTCGTGTTCAAGGGTTGCGCAACGTCTGGGGTGGCCTCGAGCCGATGCGCAACTCCATTCGTGGTCCGCAAGGTGTTCGAGTTCCAGGCCTACGTGCACGCCGCCCTCGTCGACGTGTATGACGTCTCTAAACGCTTGGTGGAAGCACTGAAGGTGTTCGATGGAATGCCGGTGAAGAATGTGGTTTCGCGGAATGTGATGATCACGGGCTTCGTCGGGTGGGTGAGGTTGAGTATGCGAGGCTTCTGTTTAAGCAGATGCCCTGCAGCAATGTTGTCTCATGGACCAGGCCGATTGATAGGTGTGTACGGCTGTACGCGTGCCTGCCTTTATACGGAGGCTGTTGGCTGTTGCTCTTTTCTGCCAGATGATGGCAGGAGGCATTAGCCTGAGTGAGATACTGTTTTAGTAGTTATTCCTGCAATATCTGGATGGATCATTGTGGGTGAGATGCCGCTTAGCTATTGTGAGAAGAAGGGTACCGTGTCAGATGTCTTTGTTGAGAATTCGCTCAGACTTGTATGCTAAGATTGGCTCCAGTGCAGAACTCGCTAAAGGTGTCTGATGAAATGCTACATAGAAAACCTAGTGCCATGGACACCGATAATTTCTGGTTTTGCAATGCATGGGTTGTCAGTTGAGGCAGTTGAACTGTTTGCAGGATTAGGCCCAACAGAGTCACCTTCTTGAGCGTCATTGATGCTTGCAGTCATGGGGGGCTGATGGAGCAAGGGTTAGCGTTTTTTAAAAAGCATGATCTTTTAGTACAATATAGATCCAGGGTCGAGCATTTTGTTTGCATCATAGACATGCTTGGTAGGTCTGGACGGTTGTGTGAGGCCAAGCAAACAATAGATGGGTTCCCTATACAGGTTAATGCAGTTGTATGGAGGATGCTGTTGGGTGTTTGCAGTAAGTATGGAGAAGTTGAGATGGGGGAGAGGGCTATAAAGAAGATACTGGACTTAGAAAGAGAATGCGGAGGTGATTTTGCAGTGCTGTCCAATATTGTAAGTTCAGTGATGCTGAACAAGCGCTGAAGTTACTGAATTAGAGGAAAAGTAAAACTAGTAAGGTTCCTAGGATTGCTTTGGTTGGTGAGATTCAGTAGTTGTCAATTGTTCAGTCTGATGAGAGGAAGAAGCTCTCTCAAATTTTCTTGCAACCTTACCACTTTAAGTATCTGCCTGTAGTATACCAACTTCAATAATTCTCCTGATAATTTGCCCTTTTTATCTTCCATGTAAAGAAACAAAATTAAATTTTATTGTTTCTTGGCTGCTAAATAGGTTGTCATAAATGATATGCCTGCAATCCCATATTTGTTAATTCAGCGCTATCATTGTGCCATCTCACTTCGTTTTCTTTTTGTGTCCTCATAATAAGCCTCAAAGGCATGCTGCATTTGGTCACTTGTTTCCACCTCCAAAATGACTGCTTCACCCCAAGTACAGCTGTTTGTTAGACCATTTACCTATCTTACATTTTCCTTGCAGGAAGCAGGTGAAGTGAACGTGTAATGTCTAATTCTTTCTCCTCTTTCACTAGATCGTCTTGTAATGATGGAAGCTGTAAAAAAGCTCCATGCACTTTCTGGCCTGCACATCTGTCAATATGCCACAGACAACTTGACATTTCTTTCGATCTAAAACTTTTGCAAAAACTTATGCTCACAAGGAAGGTGAACAGATGCACATCCATGTTATAAAATTTGGATTTCTTCTGGACATCTTTGTTTCCAATTAAGCTGATTCATCTATATGT